TCTCCGTTCCTCTGTGTACACAATATACTGTTCCTACTACTCCGGCCTCTACCTACTTCTCTTATCTACTAAGTTATCCTGGTCTGAAGATCGCTGTTGCTAGAGTTTAACTCACATAACCCCCTGGGATATGTTTAACGACCTACGAGCGGCCCTTTATTCGTCTCCATTTCTCGCTTTGCCTAACGTTGCCGCCGACGGTCCCTCATTCCTGCCAGATACAGGTGCCAGCGGGTACGCCATAAGCGCAATAAGGCTGGGGTTAAGAATCTTATCTGTTTCGTCAGTAATGCGCTGGCAAAAACTCAACCGGTGAAATGGTTGTCCCTTTTTGTGAGTAAAATACGTATCTTAGCAATTCCATTTTAAATCCACAGAAAGAACAGTGCTAAAACCTCACCTGCGCTCAGTTATCACACGACATGACTCCCTAAACATTGGCAAAAATAATACAATAAGAGTTGAACTCACCTTGCGGTTGCTTAATGACCTTCCAAGAAGACCCAACCTCATTGGCCGCTGAACAGTTAAAAAACCCACCAGCGGTTGGCGGAGTAGACGTTAAGTGAATTTTTAGACTCCAGCCGAATTCTATTCTTTGAATAGAGATCGGTTCATCCGAGGTCTTTGTGCTACTATAACCGGCTCCGAAAATAACCACGGGAGGCTCGCCGTTTGATGTGTGGAGACGAAGTTCAAGAGAGCGGAGGTCTGGAATCGGGAGACCGAAAGCCTCACAGAGGAGCTTGTCACTACCGGGCTCGCCAAAGGATTTGAGGACAGTCAGGTTTATGTGCGGTTTGACTGAAGAGCAAGGAGAGATTGAAGGAAATTACCAACAGTGATCGCAAAACTAAAAGCACCAATGATGCCTCGACTGATAAGTTGTGTGAGTTATGATTGCACATTGTTTCGTTTTAAACATCGTTCTTTAGGCATTTAATCAGAAAAAAATATCGCAGTATATTTAAAATCTTGCGATAATCTTCAATAAACTACGTCTACACGGTCTAATTTGGACCCTTAACAAACAATCTGTAGACAACTGGCTTCTGGTAACTCAAATGGCTACGTTTCAGTTTTTGCATTGCACATGTTGGTGTACTAAAGAGTACTTTTGATCCTCTTAGTCCGAAGAGGTATAAGTTTTTTTCCACTAGCTTGTCGTGCTGTGACGACGGCCTGCGTGTAGATTAGTTTTAAGTGGTATTAGCCTTGCGCTGCATCTCTTCCTTTACCCATCTGAGCCCGATGTCATGAAAGACGTAATCAGACACAAGTAGATAATGTGCCATGAGCCTGCATATATGTGTGCCATGACGTCCTCCCCCATGTTTGACATTTGGGTAGGACCGTCCTCAAAGGTCCTATTTGAATTAGACTTATAATACTAAAAATGCTTTTACATGCTTAGTAGCCCACTTTTGCCCTTTTGGTTAAATTTCGCCAGTATAAGGTCAAATTTCCATCAACAGATATAAGTTGCCCGAGCAAATGGATATTATTTTGATGGGGCTGATTATATTTAGCTCCCCAGAACAATTACAAGTGGCTTTAATTAAATATCCTTAGCTCACTCTCAACACAGTTAAATATTTATTTTCACTCGTTCGTCAAGAAATAAAGGTGTAACCACTAATTCCGTATGACAGTTGGGCGGAAGAATACATATTTTGGCGGTTCTACATAACAGTCTTGTTGGTATGACAACACAGTCTGAGCAACGTCTGCCGTTTCCTGCTCTAGCCCCGTGTATGTCACTTAAACAGCCGACGGTGCTGTCTCTGGTACTCTAACCGCTCAGACAGAACCACCGGAGATTTGAATTCGGTCTCAAGGACATGTGAAGTTCGGTTTTTTAATTTCTTTGAAATTACTTTCCGTTCTCGATATACCTCAGTATATTTAAGGCCTATAAGCAAAGACCGACAACGGATTTGTATAATTGGGCCAGACTCCGTCAGCCACTCTATAATATACACATGCTGTCAACGAGCAGACAGTAGTAATTTGTACTGATGTACCATAATAGCAGCCCCAGGTAATAGTTGAAAGACCCAAACACGTGTTTCGCTGGTATCCTGCCGCTGCTTGCACAGTTGCGAGGGGTCCGCCTCATAATTGGGCCCCCCTAGCTTTCTCTGCTTGCTTCGTGGCTGATATATCTGGACTGTTAGTATAGTAAGTTCAACCTCAATGTCTACTACCTCAGTCTGTCCGTTGGTAGCAGGTGCATATTACGCAGTAGTTGACGGGTTTCAGCCCAAATATACACGTACGATTTTGGTCTATGCCTATAGACCTTAAATATGCTGATGCATACCGCGATCAGAAATTAATTTCCCAGGAAAGTAAAAAGCTGAAATTTCAAAACCGGTTTATCAACCAGAAAGCAAATAGGAAAAGCTGGCGGACCCACTGACGAGCTGAACCCCTCGCAGCTGTGTCAAGAAACTGCAGAATACCGGGGAAACACGTGTCTGGGTGTTTTAGCTAGTACCTGGCCTGTTGGTATAGTAAGTTACAACATCAATATATGC